ATTTTAAATAATTCACTAATATTTAATTTGAGGCATTCTGTTAAAATAATTTACAAAAAAAAAATTCGTTTCCCAATAAATGCCCTCAAATTAATTAGCAATCCAATCCAATTTATCTTCATAATTTAATTAATATAAATCAAGCCATTTAGATAATAAATCATGGATCCAATGCATGAACAATAATAATCAGTATTAAATTATTCCACGCATCACATAAATAAATAAACAACAGATAAAAGCAAATAACATGGCCAATGGATTTAGCTTTTAACACTTAATTGCTTTAAGTATTGCGTGAAGGTCAATCAATGGCTTGTGAACACCTGCAGAGGCTTGTATGTGCCTGGAGAAGCAAAACGACACTTAGGACGTGCCCAGATAAGATTACACGCACCTGGACGCGCCTCTAGAAGTCTCCAGTGCGTGCCACGCGCTCCCACACGCCTACACGCGCTGGGAGGATGTTGCGGCGCATGCCACGCGCAGGCACGTGCCGACACGCACCTGCAGGCACCTAGAAGGCGCGTCAGCCACATAAGCGCGTGATCCCACGCGCTTGGTCAAACATTGGTGCCAGCTGCCTCTGTGCGTGAGCACCACGCGCCTGTTCATTGGAGGCACATGGGATGCATCCTTGTCGCGGTTCACTTGATCATCTCATGCCACCGATCTCCATCCTACGGCTGCTGGTGCGTGCGCATGGTATACCGCGCCGCGCCGAATCATTTGCCATATTCTGGTGCTACCCTCGCCGGCAGCGAGACTCCGGCTGCCGAAAAACTACCGATAATTTTTTAAAAAAAAGTTCAAAAAATTCCAAAAAATTATATTTAGGCCTTAAAAATTCCAGAAAAATTCCAAAAAATTTCTAAAAAAATCCCAGAAAATTTTTGAAGCCTAATTTCACCTTCTTGGACCTTCTTGAAGCTTCATAGCATCCTTTAATGAAGATTACACGGCTTTAAATAAATTTACAATTTGAAATACAATGAAAAAAATTAAATTACATCATTGAACTTTCAAACGGCTAAATCAAAGCCTTAATTACATTCATCTAAAGATAAAATTACATTCAATATACCTATAAGCTTCATCTATGGCCCAAACACACATCATCATCCATTCACAATTATACATACATCATCATGTATCAATATATATCAATATATTAATTCATACATCAACATACATCAATAAATAAATATATGCATATCAAAATTGGATCCATGAATGATGAATTTTGATAAAAAAAAAATAAATAAATAAAAAATAAAAAATAAAAAAACCATGATTTCTAATAATGAATCAAAGCATACTCTGATACCACTGTTGGGAAACGTGCTAGTTTTAAAATCTTTTCGAGGGATTTTCAAACACAGATCTTGATTCATCACATAGAGACAAGTTTTATGCAAAAATAAAATATGATATGTCATTCAATTAACAGATTGAATACTTATATCAAAGGTATGAGTAAACCTTTAAATCTTTCCTCTAAAGTGAATGTTCACACTTATTGTAGATCCCTTAGCAAGATGCTATCTCCATGGATCTCCATCTTCTTGGTAATAATTTTACCTTTAGGAATCACCCATAAGCCTTCATGAACGACCTTAGAAAACTAGACTTGTGGGAGCCTCCATTAGATGAGAACATTAACCCTAATTTTCTAGAGAGAGAAAATATATTCCTTTTTCCTTCTACTAAAAATTTCCCCCAAAAATATACATAGACCATGTATATATATAGGCAACATAAAGATAAAGAAAAGAAAACAATAAATCATTCTCAATCTCTAATTCACATGTCTCAAATTTAATAGGATTCCAATATCAAGTTGGCCTATGAGTGAGAATCTTTTGGGTTTATTATTTTATTGGCTATAATGAATTACTAATTAGCCCGGTCCATGGACCCAATTCAATTAATTCATTAATTAATTACTCCTCCACTAAAAGAAATTAATTGAACTCCAGTTAAATAATAAATAATCTTCTAAGTCAATGTTACACTTTGACCCCTTTATGCATAATTAATTATCGGATAAATAAAGCCATCAATCCGACTACTTAATTAATATATTTATTTTGGTACCTTTGATTATTTCTGGCTCGATCACAATAAAATATTTGTTTGACAAAAATAATAATTTAAATAAATAAATATATTATAAATAATTTTGTCTAAAAACACATGAAGGCCTTCGAATTTACTTTGTGATCAACCATAATCAATACAAAATAAATACAAGTAGCAACGATGCAAATATCGAAAATATAACCCTCTAACTATTAATCACATAACTTCCCAAAGTGTCAATCTAAGAATCCCGAAGTATCCGTCGAACAAATCAAAGTAATTATTAATTAATAAAAAAGTTTATACTTTTCTCATGCTTAAGAGTCAAATGCCATGACGGTGATAGGGAGCAATTGCATACGACGGCTCTCACAATATATCTCAACCTAACGTGGATCCAGTTCAAGTCTTAATTAATTATGAGTCCATCCATAATTGCCGACTATGAACAATTTATGATTATTATTTATATTCATGTATTGATCGCCATCACATACATATATAAATATCTCTTGTAATTAAGTGGACACTATCAATTCTATAATGAATCGAAATATAATACATTGAATTCACCAATTGTATAAAGTATAAATATTTTAAAAACGTCAGGAACATATGTCACTATAATCCAAATAAGAATTTGTTATGCCATGACATATAAATCCCAACAAGAACAACGTTTAAGAAATGTTTTTTTGGGTTAATGCAGAAGGACAAGAAGATTACAATATTTTTGGAGATGTTGTTTCTTTTGATACTACATATATCACAAACAAATTAAAAATGCCATTTGCTCCATTTGTTGGTATGAATAATCACTTCCAATTCACACTTCTTGGATGTACATTACTTGCTGATGAGACTACGTCTACATTGATTTGCTTAATGCAAACTTTTATTAGAGCAATGGGTGGAAAATCTCCAAATGCTATTTTAACTGATCAAGACAAGGCTATGAAATCAACCATTTCAAAAGTATTCCCCAATGCACGACACCAGTTTTGTTTGTGGCATATATTGAGAAAGATTCCAAAAAAACTTGGTCATGTAATAAGAAAACATGAAAATTTTATGGGGATATTCAATAGATGTATTTATAATGTATGGATTGAAGAAGACTTTGAGATGAAATGGAGGAATATGGTTGACCAATTTGAACTTACGGAGAATGAATGGCTTGAAGCTTTATTTGAGGATCATAATCATTAGGTTCCAATTTACATAAGAGGTACATTTTTTTGTTGGAATGTCTACAACTCAAAGATATGAAAGTATAAACTCATTTTTTGATAAATATGTGAGCAAGAAAACTTCATTGAATGAGTTTGTTGAATAATATTTGGTGGCTATACAAGATAGAGAAGAAAATAACGCTTATGCTAATTTTGATACATTATACAAAGAAGTTGTTCTAAAGTCTCCCTCACCTTTTGAGAAACAAATGTTAACAATTTACACACATAAAGTCTTTCAGAAATTTCAAGTTGAGGTTTTGGAAGCATTTGGATGTTATCCTAAAAAAACATCGGAAGATGGTACAATTAAGTGTTTAAAAGTTCAAGATTTTGAAAAAAATGAAGACTTCATGGTAGAATAGGATGCAAGCAAGGAAGAGATTTTTTGTTTATGTTGTTTGTTTGAGTACAGTGGGTTTCTTTGTAGACATGTGTTGACGGTAGTACAATCATTTGGTGTTTTTAACATCCCAACTCAATACATCTTAAAGAGATGGACTAAAGATGCAAAATGTGTTAATACCACAAGACACATTCCAAAAGATATTTGTTAGAAGAAGCAATGTTTTAATGAGTTACTTGAAGAAGCCACCAAATTAAGTGAGGAGGGGTCAACATACATTGAGAGTTTTAACATTGCATATGATGCACTAAAGGAAGCTGTGAAAAAATGTGCAATGGTCAATAGTTCTCTTTTGGACTTAAAAGATCATTGTAGTTCTCATGATTTTGATAAAGAGAATGTCGATAATAATGTGATACTTGACATCGCAGTTCTTGACCCACAAGTGTCAACCACAAAAGGAGCTCCTAAAAGGATTAAAAATGGGATTGAGAAAATGAGTAAAAGAAGATGCAAAAGCAAAGCAAAACAGGTTAGAGTTTTAATTATATTGTATATGTATTTCATTTGATGGTATATTTTTTGCTTATTAATTATTAATACTTGCACTTTTAGGTTCAAAAGCCTATGGAAGTGCCCAATAATTGGAGAAGAACACCTTTGGAAGTTAGTTTTGTCATGCATTGAATGTTATAATTTCCTTTTGAAATACACAAGATGCATCTTACTTACATAGCATAAAAAATAGTGTTGTATATTAATGAAAGAGATGAAAATGATATTTGATTTTTGATAATTTAAAATTTTCAGGTTTATGAAAAAGCCGGTTTTTGTTGAGAAAGAGAAAACATTTGGAAGTGGAGGTTTGTCATGCATTAAATATTATAATTTCCTTTTGAAATACACAAGATGCATCTTACTTGCATAGCATAAAAAATAGTGTTGTAGATTAATAAAAGAGATGAAAAATGATGCTTGATTTTTGATAATTTGAAAATTTCAGGTTTATAAAAAAGCAGATTTTTGTTGGGGAAGGAAAAACCTTTGGAAGTGGAGGTTTGTCATGCATTAAATATTATAGTTTCCTTTTGAAATACATAAGATGCATCTTTACTTACATAGCATAAAAAATAGTGTTGTATATTAATGAAAGAGATGAAAAATGATGTTTGATTTTTGATAATTTGATAATTTCAGGTTTTTGAAAAAGTAGGTTTTTGTTGAGGAATAGCTATGATTAGTTCATGAAGAGGCATGTTTATTTTGTTCATATAAGGAGTAATATTTTGAGATGTGATGGGATTTTATTTACATTTAATTACAATGATGTTGTAAAGCTCTTTTTTTTTTTTGGCATGTTTATTTTGTTCATGTACGGAGTAATATTTTGAGATGTGATGGGATTTTATTTAATGCAAAGCTCTTTTTTTTTTTTTTTTTTTTTTTTTTTAATTTATTTATTTTTTTTTTTTTCAGAAATTGATGTTGTAATCTTTTGTCTATGGATGGAGACAAGCTTTACTTGATGAATGTTTAATTTACACTTATTTTCAATAGGTTTACTTGATGTGCTACTGTAATTCTATTGGAATTCTTAATGTCGATTGTTACTGTAATTCTATTGGACTGAGTTTGGTGATGATGAGGAAAAAAAAAGTGCAATGACGTGTTAAAGAAAGGAGAAAACGCAATAATGTGCTACTGTAATTTTATTGGGATTCATAATGTCGATTGTTACTGTAATTCTATTGGACTGAGTTTGGTGATGATAAGGGAAAAAAATAAATAAATTCTATTGGATTGACTTTGGTGATAATGAGGAAAAAAAAAAAAAAAAAGTGCAATGACCAGATAAATGAAGGAGAACTGGAATTCTATTAGAATTCATAATGTCCATTGTTACTGTAATTCTATTGGACTCAGTTTGGTGATGATCGTCTTCTTCAAGGTTGTTTTTATCATATGAGAAAAAAAAAAAAAAAAAACGAAAAAAAAAAATGAAAGTGACTGGTTAAAGGGAAGGTGAAATGGCAATAAGCAATTCAGTAAGTCAAAACTCTCTTTTCAAAGTGTGTCTTAAAACAAGATAATTAAAGAAAAAAAAAAAAAAATGACCTCATGTGCCCATTCTTACGTGGGACAATTAAAATTGTCCACTGTTGCTAGCAAAGCTCTTAATATTAATAATAGACTCACACTCTCGCACCCATATATATACACTATAATGGAGGGCCATTTTATAGACTTTCTCATTAAAATATAGGAATTAAAGTAAAATAATCTCATATTAGACAATAAAACAATAATGGTGGGTCTGTAAGTATTAACTAGGGCAAAAAAAAAAGTAGTAAAACAATAATGGAAAATCATAATAATTACGATTTTTATTAAATATTTCTAACAAAATCTTCATACATGGCTTCAAAATTTTCTTGGGAGGAAAATGAAACTTTTTTGCATGTGACCCTTTTGATGTATTTAGTATTTAGAAGATAAAATGCAAGTATATGGAGACAATATAATTGTGTCTTGTGAGGCAAATCAAATGTAAATAACCCTCATTTTGATGTTTTCTTTTTGGTACATATATATATACATATATATATATATATTTGGTTTTTTTTTTTCACAATTTTTCTGACTTTTTTAAAGCAAATTCTGAATTATCTCAATCTTGATATATACACTCCCTTTGTGAACAGAGACTCAGTTAACCTGTTTAAAGTTAGTTTTATCCGTTTCTTATTTCTCATTTTAATATTATAAAGACTTGTGCCACATCACAAGCCTGAGTGATAAAATGATATTATTAATGCTCGATGCTATCAAATTTATTATTTTTTTTTTTTTCTTAATTGATATTCGCACACATGCTTCAATGGAGGCTTAAACTTTTAACTTACCTTTGAAAGGTAAGGATATGATATTGCGAAATCATTGTCTCTTGCCCTACCTTTAAAAATTAAAAATCTAATCCCGGTAAGCCACTGACGTTGGTTATATTATAATGTAAAGGACTTTCTACCTTTGTATTACAACTATTATAGTTTTCCTTTCTTGGGAGATTCCAGGAGAGCTATTACATGCACACAGTATTGGAGCCAAGGGAATAGAGAACTCAGTTGGAAGAATGGGGAGAGTCCATTCCACTAGTCATCGTACTGAGGCTGCTTCGGATCTAAAGATGCATCAGCTTTTCTGGTGGTTCTGAGATAGGTAGTAATTAATTATATATTGCCTGTCCTTTTTTCTTTTTCTTTTTTTTCGGTGAATGGTGGCAGCAAATTTTTTTATACATGCAAAACATATAGTACAAGAGAGAGAGATGGGCATACCCCTCTGATACAAATCAAAATATAGAAAAAGCCCATTTCCAGTAGGGCCCAAAAGACAAACTACTGAAAAACAATCAACAAGTCTTCGAGAGAGCACTTCAACGCATGAAGCACTACCCATGCAATGTTGGTAGCTAGAACAGCAGGAGGAGATGGAGAAGATTGATGAAGAACAGCATTCCAAGCACGAATTTTATAGATGCAAAACATATAGTCAGTAATATCACTCAAAAGAGCCAAAATTACCTAGCACCATGTTCAGCTTGCCCAAAACCTCCCTCCAAACAGCAGCAGCGAAGGTACATGAACAAAACAAATTATCATTGTCATCCAACCCAGCAAAGCAATTGTGGCAGATAGATGTCAAGGGGTTACCTCTTCTCTGAAGATGCACAAAGGACAAGTTCCTAAGCTGTAATATCAAAGATACAGCAATTGAGACTGGGACGACAAAATTTCCTGCATAATTTGGTCCATTCTAACAAAACAGGCAGTATTCTACAAGCACTCCACACAGATTTCAAACAGAAAGGACCATGGTTCCAAACAACAGCATCAGAAGAAGCTGAAATAGGTACAGCAGCAATGACAGTTCTCACATCCTCCGCAAAGTGACTATCAAACCTCCATTGACCATTAACAATTCTATATGGTTGCCTGCCCTTGATGACATATATAATGTTAAAAGTACGTGTGCATTGCAAATCAAATCCTTGAATCCATTAAGAACAGCATTTATATATATGTGGAGTGAATTTTACACAGATAATTGTGTTTGTTCAAAGGTATAAAAAATAAAAAGGAGCTCATACACAAATATTCATTGATCCACACCACAAGAAAAGAAAAATTACATTTTGAAAATTTCCAGCTTTTTTCTTTGGTAGCCACAAGTGTTTTATATCCACATTTGTATTAACAAAAGGCTACTAACCGACCAGGGATATATTTATATAGGAGTTCATATAGATCATTTGATCCTGAACCATTGTGGTATTAGTTGCAATTAGCAGAAAATTTAATATGATAACACTCTAGAACTGTGACGAGCTTTTTGTTTTGGACTAAAGGAGATTAAATCTGTGGTTGTTCTAATAAAACATGTGACCGTTTGTTGTTTTGTGTGGTTTTTCTAATACATGTGACTGCTTGTCGTTTAATTGTTTTTGGGAAAAAGTCACTCACTAGGTCCCATGTTCAAGTCCTAATTTAAGTTCTGTGTCATCTCTCTCTCTACACACACACACACAGTTCAGGGATCAACCAATGCCTAACCAAAAAAACCTGGGTTTTACTGCTCAGAAGCCTCAACCAAGCTGAGTTCCCCGTGTGCCTACACACGAAGATCTCCAGTGGCACTCTCCTGTTCATCAGATTACATTTAATGAAAGTAATTTAATTCCTCATGATTCCCTGAACAGGAATAATTATTATAACCTCGTGCAATGAACAAGAAACAAACATCCTCAATCAGTAATCACATTCATTTACTAGAAAGCCACCAGACTAATGCTGCATTTCTAGAACAGTCTAGTGGCTAAATTGACTACACGACCATAATGAACACATCTAAAACAAAATTATTGTAAAATACAATGTCCAGCTTCAGTAAAATATTATACATTTAATTAATTTTCTAGATAATTAAAAAAAATAAATAAAGTAAAAAAAAAAATGCTTCATAAATCAATGTGTCTGCTAAATGGCCCAAACCTTTTCAGAGGTTAAATTAAAAATAAAATAATAATAATAATAAATAAATAAATAAATAAAAATAAAAAAACCTACTGCTATAGTGCGATGCATACCATATTTCATGTCAAACTATGGAAAAAATAATAAAGGTTCAAGTAGAATCTTCAGTTATTAATGACTTAATGCTGTCCAACCAACTACAATTCCTCCTCCATTAATACTCTGTCCAAGCTAACAAGTTTAGGAAGCACCGCCTGAAATTTATTCCCTGCACAAAACTCCCATGGGAGTAACACTAAAAAAATAATCTTCTTACCCATCAGCAAATCAAATCTCAACAAGCATCACCAGAGAGTATCTTCTTCCCTGCAAAAAGGGACAAAGAAAATATGGCATTTGTCGTACCCAGATTTTGGCATATTTTGTTCCAATCCAGGCGCGACAACATCCTTCTGTGGATTTAAGTTCTATTTACCTCAAGAGGTGAAGACTTGCATCCCAGTCCATTGTAGCATATTTTCAGGCTACTGCTAAGCAAACTAATCTCTAAAGAGTAGAAAAGAAGCCACAAAATGTCATTCTGCATATAAAAGAGTTACCTGTATTTAAAAAAGTGGCTCATTGCCCAATTCTCATTTTTTGAAGTTTGCAGAACAACCCAGTTTCTCGATAATAAGTATCTTCTCATGTAAGGATATGATTGTAATGTTTGCAAATCAGTTATTCTCCTACTCCCCTCGTTCCCTCATTTTGTTCACCAGGCATTCATGTGCGTAGTGCATACAGAGCTCCGCTCATAGGTGCCAGGAAGGGCAGGGGAAGGAGGTTTCATATCTACTGTACACGATAAAAAAGGACATAAAAAGTAACCTATGTGGAAAAAGATACCATGAAAAGCTCACAAGCATGCCAAAGATTCAGTAACCACAAGCACGAATTTGCTTCAAGTCAACTGAAAATCAGGTGAAAAAATAGAAACCCACAACTGCGATAATTAAGAAATCAAACCATGACATAATTGGGAATTTTCAGTTACCTCATGGTTAGGAAAAAAATCATTGTCTCCTCCAGCAGCGGTATTATCCATGCATATTTATTGAATCTGTCCTTTTTAATTATTTGAATATGGTAAACCGCAATGAACTCATAAAATGGGTAAAAAGAACTCTGTAAATATATTTCTGAGGTGATTCATAAGAGAGATTTAATTCAAACAAAGCTTGAAATAGAACATAAGAGTTACAACGATGAAGTTATACCTACCTCAACCCTTTCTCCTCTAATTTATATTGATGATAGGGAGATGGTATGGTCTCAATAAAAGCTGTGAGCACAGAAAAAAGTTTAACCCATGATGACATTTAACTTGAGACCCCAAAAACACACATTCATAAAACTTTTATAAGATATAAAAAAAAAATCTACCTCTTTTGATTTCAAAGTTCAGACAACTATCTACGCAATCCATTAATATGGGCAAACTGAACTTCAGGGAGACCTCCTATGACCATGCTTAACGGGGGAATGTGACCTGCTCCTATCCCTGCCTCCATCTCTTCCATTCCTGAAACTGTTGTGCTTCCAGTTGAAGCCTCTTCCTCCATCCCGGCTTCAAAGTTCAGACAAATATCTATGCAATCCACTAATATGGGCAAACTGACTTCAGGGCGACCTCCTATGACCATGCCTAACAGGGGAACGTGACCTGCTCCTATCACGCTCCATATATGCATTTCGTTCACGGTACCTGTCCCTGCCTCCATCTCTTCCATTCCTGAAATTGTTTTGCTTCCAGTTGAAGCCTCTTCCTCCATCCCGGCTTCCTCTACCATTCCTCTCATAAGACCTTTCACGGTCACGGTCCCGGTACCTGTCTCGCTCCCTATCTTGATCCCGATCACGATACCCGTCTCTGTCAGCTGAATCACTTCTTTTACGTCTACTCTCATATTCCTTCTCCCTTAGCTTCCTCCGTTCCTCTGCTTCTTTTTCCCTTGCTAATCTTTCCTCTTCCCTTGCCTTCTCCTTTGCAGCCTGGCAATGAAAATTTCAAGTTCTTCACTCACAAGGGGAAAAAAACATGAGAAAAGGAATGAGTCGCACTATGTAGATTATTGTTCAAAGGAAGACTCACCTTGTACTCGGTCAGGAAATCCCTAACCATGCCATAACCAATATGCTGCTTGCCAGTGACATGAGACTGAGTCCTCTCTGCAGCATCATTTGCTACTAGAAAAGAACCACATATCTCACAGAGAGCCATCTTTTTCTCCTGTGCAAGCATTAACAGGCTCTGTGGCTGTTGAGTCAAGGCTGTCTTCTCAGCATTAAGCATTTCCACCTTCAAAAGAATGTTTACAGAAGTTCAAGCATAACTTCCCATAGATCTCATACTGAAAAAACAAAAGGTTCAGGAACAACGCTACAGGTACCTTTCTCATTAATGCTTCGGCTTCATCCACCTTGCCAGCTTCCCCAAGGGACTCTACTTGTTCCAACAGGTTCTTTATTTTCTCCTCCAGCACAGATAACTGCTCGGATTTTTCTGCTGAGATTGGAGCAGGTGGAGGAACTTCTACCTCTTGAGCAAGGCGTTCTCGCCCACGTCTAACTCTTCTATCTAAGTCCGTCACCTGAAATGGAACAAAAATTATCACCAAAGAAAATATACATCCAAAGATTAGTGATGGTCGTGAACAGAAGGCTCAAAAATCTGTGAGGAATGAAACTCACCAACTTCTCACAAAAATGAGCGAGGTCTGCTTCAAACCTGGGCACGTACGAGTCATGTCTTGGTGACTTCTCAAAACTAAAACCACAACTATATCCCATCAAAACCATATTACAGAAGCAGGATGTACGAAAGATGATATACAAAGAAAAATGATAAAGCATGATAAATATAAGGTGTGTGTGAGAAATTCTAGATAACTTACAAAACATCTCAAAGTACACAAATCAATATGTGCAAAAAAGAGAATTTTTATTCTTCTTTTTTATAAGTAAATCCACCACAACGCGCCAAAACAGGGGGAAACCCATGTAAGAGGTATTCATTACTGTCTGCATTCCAGCAGTTCCTTCTTTATGTATTTGAGTAGCATAAATACCCATTGTATTCATTCTTTGGATATATGAAATAAATAAATAAATAATCATCCTTCTCTCTCTCCCCCTAAGGTAAGACTCGAGTAGGTTTATTGACATGGTATCAGCGCAGCATTCAATTAGGACCTAACGAAAGTTTCTCCGTCTTCCAATTTTCTCCTTCTGCTCAACCATGACACAGAAAAACAAAACCTCACCAGAGAAGTCGACTTCCTGCAGTTGAACCCTCTCTCTCTCTCTCTCTCTCTCTCCCACCTCTTGGTTCTCTCTCTGTATCTTATTTGACAGAGATGACCTAGATATCAAAATAACTATAATAATTATAACAATAATAAAAAGAGACAGTTATTGCCCCATTCCTCTTGGCTATATGATCTAGACTCGTTTGGCTCTCCTCGTCTCGCTCGAATTGTGACCAGATCTCCTCATCTCACTCAAATTTTTTGCCTTTGTGACCATATCAGTCAGTGGAACCTTTACACCAAATCTTGTCATCTATTGTTGTAATTTCGTTCCAGAAATTTTGTAACACAGGAAGCCAACTCATTAAATTGTTGACATCTCGTTATTGGCGCAGATTTATTTTGGTATGCTTACACACATTGTTTGTGATAGGCCACATTTTCTGATCAAATGGATTATGTTTTGGGAAAATCAGATTTCAGTAACCATTCCTAAACTAAATTGCTCTAACGTGACCATAAAGTAATGAAAAGATGAATAGTGACCATTTAATTGCAGAGAAGTGACCAGTGACATCTATTCCCCAAATTACCCTTCTTATAATAATTTTTTTTAATTGAAAAATCTACCCACTCTCTCTCTCTACAACAGTTCCTCTCTTTCTCCTACCTCTGATTTCTTTATTGCATCTTATGAATGATGGATTAATGAATTCTTTCATAAATTATTCTGACTTTCACAACACCGTCGATGCGCAACCCTAAAAACCGATTCATCTCCAAAAGCCATAAACCCCTCTCTATTCAATTTGAAAAAAAAAAAAAAAAAACACTATTCAATAAAAATTCTTTGAATTCTCACTATATCGGCATGTATCTTCGAACCACCTGCTTGCCTGTGAATCCTCCAATCGCCCCAGCAATTGTTGCCAACCTCGGCCCCGCTGCTGCCCTGCCCTATACAGTGCACCCGTCCCCAACCCAGCTACCCCACTGTTCAACAAGTCATCAGTCCCTCTAAAGTGCACAAGCACTCTCCAACCCTGCGAATATCAAACCCACGACGCCGAGAGAGTTCTTGAACGTCCGGCCCGTCTTGCTGCCAGAATTGAGCACCCAATTGATGCGGAGCTTGAGGGTCTCACCGGGCTCAGCTGCCTTGAGACCCTCCATGGGCCCTTTGGCGGAATCGACAATCGTGCTGGCGAGGTAGCTAGAACCAGTGTAATACGTGAGGTTTTCAGTCCACGAGCAGCATTGTACGATGGGGAAGAGGTATTTGGAGGCGATGGGGAGGTTGTAGATTGGAACTCAGAGGTCTTGGTAGGGTTGATATTGACGATATGATGTGATTTTGTTTTCTGATTATGAATCAGAGTCCATTGTTGAAGATTGAAGCTTAGACAGACGAAACAATTAAGAGCTCTAGAGAATTAAATTTAAAAGGGTAATTTGGGGAATAAATATGAATGGACACTTCTCTGCATTTTTTTTTTTTTTTTGATAAATGGCACTTCTCTGCAATTAAATTTTAAATTTGGTTACTATTCATCTTTTCCATACTTTAAGGTCACTTTAGAGCAATTTAATTTAGAAATGGTCGCTAAATCTAATTTTTCCTTATGTTTTTCACACTTAGAGACCCTACTTATAGTTCATTCAACAACAATTTATCTCGTCAACTTTGTATTTAATTTCAAGTTAGACAATTATGTTAATATCTCCATGTACCAACTTGAGAGGGACTGTTGTTAGTACAGTTGCATTCCAGCTGTAGTCAGCATTTCCTTCTTTATATATTTGAATAGTATGAATACCCATTGTATTCATTCTTTTGATATACAAAAAAGAAAAAAATAATAAAAAATAATAATTCTGCTCTTTCTCTCTCTAACCTCTAACGCAAGACTCTAGTAAGTTTCTTAACATTTACTATGCACCAATTTTATTTTTTTTTTTATTTTTTTTTTGACAAGTAACAATCACCATGCACCATCATCCATGTTTAGACTAATGACTACTCATTTAGTTTATAATGGATCAAAACTGAATTTAAAACCATGATGAAATGCTCTAAAAGGTTTCAAAGAACTCCAGCTGTATTTGACATCCATGCATGTTTAAGTACATGTGTGTGCCAACTTGAAAATAATTATAGTCGTCTAAATTTACTAAAAAATAATCTTGTAGGAGGATTCCATGTATTTAAAATTTATCATTCAGTAGCCAGTTGAGATTCATTGTGTATATGAATCATACTGAGGATAAGCTCCAATGGGAAATAGTTGGGTATTCTCTCTACAAAAACCAACAAGATATATTAGTCGCAGAAAAGTTGAAGGTTTAGCCATTGCACCTACATTTTTTTTATAATGATTAGATAATGGACACGCTAAAAAAAGAAGGAAAAGATCACCCTTCAAGAAGAAACCACCCCGATGAAAATGATAAAGTTCCTAATAAAGTCCGTGCCAAGGGGTATTTGGACAAAACTATCCTTTACAATTTTTCTATATACACTAAATCTGGCAAAACATGTTTTTGGAATTTTTACATGATAAAAAGAACTCATAAATTTAATATAAAAAATCTTATAAAATCATTTTAGTGTGACCTTCAAAATTAATGTTAATAATAAAGTAGAATAATAGTTTATGGGTAGTTTTGTTCAAAAATGGATACTCTGCTGACTACTGGTCTTCTATTCCCTCTCAATCCCATTCTGTCATATGGAAGAGCTTGCTGGAGATGAAAGAGGCTATAATTCCGAACATTCATTTTAAAATTGGGAATGGTGCTGCTACCATAGTTGTTAAAGGCGCCAGAGGCGCGCGCCGCGCCTGAGGCGCAAGGCGCCTCCAGGCGCCACCTTGGTGCCTTGAAAGACTTAAGGCGAGGCACTTTAGCTAGGCAAGCGCCTTTGAGGAAAAGGCGCAGTACTACAGGCGCAGTACAGGCTCGCCTGTATGAAAATTTGTTTTTTTTACTATTATTTTGTTATTTTTAGTTTATTATTTGTTTATTTTTAGTTTTTATTTGTTTATTACAAAACTTATACATGCAAGCAGCAAGTTACAAAGCAAAAAAAAAAAAAAAAAAAACAAGCAAAAAGCAAAAGGAAAGAAGAGACAGAGAACTAGAGAAGTACAAGACGTCGAGATCTGCGAAGCGCCGAAGCTCGGATCTGCTGGATCTGCGTCTCTGCCGGTAAGTTCTTGCTTCTTGCTTCTTCTTCTCTTCTTCTCCTCTACTTCTTCTCTCCTTCGTGCTTCTTCTTCTTCTTCTCTTCTCAGTATTTTTTTTTTTTTTTTCTTCAGTTCTTCTTCTTCTCTCGGCTCTCTCTCTCTCGAGTCTAGTCTCTTGCTCCTTTTATTTTATTTATTTATTTTTTTATTCTTCTTTGAGCCGAGTCTAAGACTCTAGGCTCTTCTTTTATTTTTATTTTTTATTTTTTTCTATTCTTCTTCTCTCGGCTCTCTCTGCTCTTCTTCTTTTTATTTTATTTTATTTATATTTTATTTTTGTGGTTTAAAAGAATTCTATTCTTTTTTATACCTATTATATCCTAACTATTTTTTTTTTTTTCATTATTAAATCTCAACTAATAAAGAAAGTAATAGTGGGGTTAAAATAAAAGTTCTACTAACTTTTATTTTCTTTTTATTTTTTTTCCTTATTTCTCTTCGCTATTACAGAGGATGATGTTTTCCTTATTTTCGTTTTAGAAATTATAACTCTTCAAAATAATAATTATAATGTTTGATTGTTTATTTATATATATTTTTTTATCTTTACAGGTTTTCTATTCTCAGTTTGCAGTTTTCAAATGTGATGTTCACAATTTTCAGTTTTCTTGGGTTCAAATGTGATGTTTATTTATATCCAATTTTGTAGATGTTATGCAATTTCATTTTCTCTTGTTGCTGTATTACAAAAATTGTTGTTTGCATATTAGTGCTATTCATCGATTCTGTGGTGACTGGTGAGGGAAAATTTTATTTATATATATATATTCTGTGCTGAGAAAGAAAAAAAAAATTAATACAAACTTTTGGCATTATATATACAAATACAGTTATCAATTATTAATATTAAAAAAGGGCAAAATCCTATAAAGAAAATAAAAAATCCTAAATATCAAGTTTTGACAACTTGCTCCTCTTATTCTAATTGGCAATAAACCCCCTTTAATTTACACACACATTTCTTATTCACCCCTAGAATAATTTTTATCTGCAAGTGTGTGTGTGTAAATGTATGTTGTTATACATCTGCCAGAAGCCCGTATCCATCTTTATCTTGATATGGGAGTGTATAGACCATAGAGTACACCATCTTTGTCATTTAGTTGCCTTTTGCATCTTTATATATACTATTGCATCTTTAATACTTTATTAGGTGGGTTTTGTTTTTTTTTTTTTTTCAACGTGCGCCTTACATCAGTCGGGTGCGCGCCTCGCCTTGCGCCTCAAGCTCCAAGAGGTATTTGCGCTTTTGTGCGCCTTGAGCCTTTAACAACTATGGCTGCTACTAAATTATTCCATGATCCATGGTGCCAAGGTCGGACCTTGACTCTGATCTTTACACACATAATTTATAGAGAGCTCCAATTGCCTAAACATGCTATGGTTGCTTCACTAATTAGAGATGGAAGGTGGCAGTTGCCTTTGCCTTCTTCCTCTCTCCTTTGTCAGTTTAATAATTTTGTTCTGTCAGTTCAACTTCAACAAGGAAATGACACAGTTTTATGGAGGAATGATGACTTTAATTTCAAATCAGTTTGAGATTCTATAAGAGTCCGCTGCCCTAAAATGTTATGGTATCCTCTTTGTTCTTGTGGAAGTAGACCTAGGGTCTCTTAAACTTGCTGTTCAGCTTTTAATCAAAAGCTTCCTTCTTTTTACAACTTAAGGTTGAGAAGGATAGGAATGCCTGCTATATGTCACTTGTGTTTTAAAGAAGAGGATTTTATTGATCATCTTTTTGTTGGTTGTCCGTTTGCTAGACATATCTGGGCTTGGTTTGAAGATCTTTTCGAATGGAATTTTCCTGGCTTTTGTTCTCTACATCAGTTCGCTGCAAGGTTCTTATCAGAATTTGGCACCAGGTCTATTACACACAAAATATATAGAAGAATCTTCTCCACTACCACTACTATATAGTTCATATGGAATGAAAGTAATTTAAGGCTTCACAAGGATTGTGCTAGATCAGACAATGATATTGCCAAGCTGATTCAGTGGGAGATTCTAGACATCACAGGCCTTAATGCTGAAGCAATTAAATAAGGTTGCTTATTTGTTGACCTTTTTTGGCTTTGTTTCTGCTTTGCTTTCTCTTTAGTCTTTGACTAATTCTCTGGACTTTGGTCCTTTGTGTAGCAAGGGTATGCCTTTGCTTTTTCATTGTACTATATTGTTTCATTTATAAAAAAATTCCATCTTACCCAGGGAAAAAAAATAAAGTAGAATAATACAATTTCAATTCTATTGGACAAACCCACCTCCACAAGGAAGATAAATTTAAAAGACCAACAAAACTTAGTTCATTAAAACCAGACATTAACCCGGCTAGCACCACCTCTCCTCCTCAAAGGGGAGGTGAGGAGTCCGAGTCCCATAGTGGGCATTTGGCTTACAACACTCTTCAAATAAAATTAACCCCATTTGGCAGCAACAGAAGCCTATTGATTTTCTAAGCAAATGTGTGACGACCCGAATTGTGGATTGAAGACTGAGGACAAGAGCATGAGAGGAAATGCATCAATCTAGGCAAGTAATAGAATTCTTAAATTCAAATATAAAGTAACAGCTCATCCAGTCAACCAATTGAATTGGAAAGGAGAATCAATTCCCCTTCCTCACAAGGATCGCATCAAAACACTTCAGATCAGTTACCTCAGTGAAAACCAGCAACAGCCAGAACTCCATATGTCTTATTAGCATACCATTCATGTAACTCATATTTAAGATCCATCCTAATTCCTACACCACAGGTGTAAAGCAGGTAACTCACTTAAAATGGACAATAGAATTGAAAAAGATACAAATAACAAGGAGAAAGGGATACCTCAACAGAGATCTGTCAATCTGATCAAAGTTTATTTAGAGCCAGAAAATAAAAAGAGCGCCAAAAAATAAAAGAAGCATTTCATGAGCAGCACTATAAATATGACAACCATACAGTGAAAAACTAAATTTCCAACTGAACAGAAGGTTGAAGTCCTTGGAGCAATTTCAATAAGAAAACAATACCATGCAATCATCTTTAGAAAATAGAATTGAAAACTTAAAAAGAGAACCATGAAGGATCCAAATGTAGAACAATTCTATAACAGAGAAAATCCAAACTATATTCATCCCATTACCTTTCTTTCAGCTTGTCATCATGAATCTTCAGACATGGTCCTGATGTAAAATAACAAAACAACAAAAATATTATTTACAAAAACTCTGACTTCAAGCATCATATTATATATTCTTTTTTTTTTTTTTAAAAAAAAAAAAGCATTATATGATAATCGCATGTGGAAACCTACCCAAGAAAATAGAAAGAACTTGTTGCCGAGAAAAAATGAAGGCAAAAAGAACAGACCAGAATCTAGAATTTTAGGATCATTTGGTTAGATGAATGCTAATAGTGGAAAGTTAAAGTAAAACACAATCAATAACATGAATTTTATAAGAATGATTGTTTTTCAAAAAATTGTGTGAAAATGCCCACTAGGATAGTATGGAAGTTACAAGAAAATATTCATTTTTTACCTCAATTGTCCTTATTTATATTAATATAAATAGCATGTCTAAATCAATTTGTCTCTAATAAACTTTTTTGGTATTTTAATTAAATGTACTATAAGAATTTAAATAATTAATTTTTTTTTTAATGGTATTTTACATCAGTTTCCCAAGGAAACAAAAAAATAAAATTATGTTTTTTGTAGGAAAAAATTATAGGAAAGTTAGGTGGTGATTAAAAATTAATCTCCCAAACTTTCCGTTTTCCTGCTATCCAACTCCTAAAATGTTAAAACCCATTTTCTTTACCTTCCACCAAGCCTTAGAAATCTCACTATTTTGGGCAACTATTGAACCTTTTACAATTATATGGATCAATTAACTATATTCTTTCATTTCTTATAAACATATGATACAACCAATCACTAAAATTAAACTAATTTCAGCACAAAATTGATCATAACGAACCTAGATCACTCTTAGTGTTGACGAACAGATCATGAGGGCAAAATTGGATCATGTAGCACCCACAAACCTCCTTATCGTCCCATGTAATTTCCTTGTACCCCCTTCTCTCTTCGTCGGTGAGATTACGAGCTAAAAGAAATCCAAAAAAAAAAAAAAAGGATAGATCAGTTTTCCGTGTGAACTTTAAATCAATTAAACCAAAAAAAAGGAAGAAAGTGCCTGATTGAAGGAAACTAAAATTAGGGATTTAGAAAAATTATGAGCTAAAGCACACTAATACAAACACTTATAATTGTAGAAATATAATAACATTGTCTATGAATGTCAAATCGAATTGGATTGAAAGAAACGGCGAATAGTCAATCACTATTTGAAGAAAATAATAGGATCTTTTGAAAAAGAAAATACTAGCTCTATGTACAACTAATCCAAACAAAAAATAAATTCAAAAAAATTGAGGAAAAAAGATCGTACGAACAAATTGAGGTGAAAAAAATATTAGGGTTTGATGAAGATACCTGCACCCATAAGTTCATCTAGCAAAGCTCTTTGGGCGTCCATTGCTGATTAAGGAGGGTTTTGCGATTTGAAGTGAAGATGAGAAGATTTTAATGAGTAAACAAAATTTGAAAAGAATTCTATGGATAGATAAAGGGAATTCTAGCCTGCGTCAGGTGATTCGAAGCCTAAGTGACACGAAATGAGAGAGAGTGGTGAGAATTAGGTTGGGAATTGGCAGGGAGTTCATTAGGGCATGTTTGGATGATTAGATCTCTTCTCGTTTGGACTAAAAAGATTTTCATTGGCGGAAATTAGGACGGGGGCTAGTGTTTTGAAGGTAAATTACACATACCTCCCTTCAAATTTGGCCAAATTACATTCGATACGGACACACAACATTTATTATTTTGACCTCTCAAAACTTGTTACACCGCTACCCAAAAGTCTCTCAAACCTTGTTACACTGTTACCCAAAAGTGATTTTGAGTATGCTTTTATATTATAATACAAATATTTACTATTCTCAAAATTCAAATGACCAGTGTGTAATTTGTCTGAACATTATGAAAGATTAGTATAATCTACCGTATTGTTTTTTTTTTTTTTTCATACAAGTGAAGGGCAAATTTGTCATTTTAATAAAATTTAGTTAACATGTTTGCTAGAAAAAAAACACTAGGGGTGTCGTTCAATATACACGCTATAACTCGAAGAAGTTAAAGTGATGAACGTTGGAACGATCTATTCATGTGTAATTTGCCAAACCCCCCACTTCTTCATGCGAACACTCTTATACTTATGAGACATGAGGCCCGATTACTCCATGAAAGGGTTTAGATTTTTTTTTTTTTTTTTTTTCTTTTTTTTTAGTAATAACCTTCAAAGTTCACAAATTTATATCCATCCATAATCATCAAAATTCAACTAAAAATACAAATACCGATAGATAAAATTCTAGTGTGCATGTGAAATCTATTAGGGACTAACAAATACTAAAACTCATATCACAGTAGATAATGGAACCCACATAAGATAAAGCACAAACATTAGGAATTCAGGATTATCTCAAAAAAGAATTTTAAAAATTACGTAAGTGTAATAGTAATAACCTTAAAAGTTTACCAATTCATATCCATCTCTAGTTATCAGAATTCAACTAAAAATACAAATATCCATGGATTAAATTCTAGTGTGCATTTGAAATCCATTAGGGACCGACAAATACTAAAACTCTTATCATAGTAGATAATGGAACCCACATAAGATAATACACAAACATTAAGAATTCAGGACTATCTCATAAAAGAATTTTAAAAATTACTTAAGTGTCTTAATCCCCCAACAATTCTCAAATATATGAATTAAAATCAATATGTCAAAGAAAAATAATTGAATTAATTTTTTTTTAAAAAAATAAATAAATAAACTAGACTAGACTCTATGCCCCCAAACTTGAATTGGAAAGTGTCCTGACTGGGCAAAAATCAAAAGTAAGAAAAATAATAAATAAAAAAGAAAATAAAAACAAAGAACAAAAGCACCTGGCAAGATATCTAGAATTGAGGCGATGGAGCATCGGGACTTCAATGGTTGAATAATTCTTCTCCAAATCTACATAAAAGACTAACAATAAACTAATAACAAGGAAAGTGGGCATGGTGAATGAATTATTCTAATAGGGGTAGGAAAATGGGTTTATGTAGAAGGTGGTGTAATAGGTTTAGGAAGAGGTAAATTGGCAATATAGAAAGATGTATAAGGAGTGGGAAATGGAAAAGGTTTAGAAGTGGATAGGAAAAGAGGAAAAAAAAATTTTCTACCCCAAAATTTTTTTTTTTTTTTTTTTTCAAGCGTCAGCTGAAAGGGGGTACTATCACCCCTACCATCGGCTGAATTGCGGTACTATCACCCCAATTTTTTATATATTTTTTTCCAAGCGTCAACTGAAAGGGAGTACTATCACCCCTACCGTAGGCTGAATGGGGGTACTATCGCCCCAATTTTATTATTATTATTATTATTATTTTTGTAACAAGCTATCCAAGAAAATAAAATAACATAATCATGAATACAATGAAAAAATCTAAACTATTCTACAAAATAAAAACTAAAATAAAAATAAACTCACCTAAAACTATCCTATTCTACACTATAAAAAGGAAAATAAAATAAAAATAAAAATAAAAGTTAATCTATAGTGGAGATGATGCCCCCATCAAATGCTAAGTTTTATGTCTCTAACTAGACATAATGTCACTCTCTAACCCGTATCTAACAACTATATTACCTCTTTCATGTTCGGATTTAACCGCCTCTACGCTTCTCGTGAAGGTTTGGAGTCTTCTTCTAAAAAAATCCAATGCATTCACACTGAGGGATCAATCCCTTTGAGATCAACCACAATGCTTTTTTCAACATGCATCAAATGATTCGGCATCAAAGTAAGGTAGGCATACTTCCAATGGATCTTTTGTTAAGGCAAGTGGAGCCATCTCTTCAACACACTCATCGATGATATCGACAAGAAAACAATCATTTGACTGGCATTGAAAATATTTAAGCAAACTTTTTGGTGTGTGTCAAACCCAGTTGCAATAAGAGTATAATGTGGCCAAGTTTAAATTTATAGAATGCCACTACCACTACTAACTATAAATGTAGCTAGAGTGAGTAGGGATCGTCCCCAGGGATATGGAGTGTATTTTTGCTTAGAAATCAAGGTCGGATTAGTAGGTCGAGTGATCAAAGATAGTTTGATTAGTTAATTAAACTACAATTTAAACTAATTAAAAGCAATGTGAAGTGAATAGAATAAATGGAGTGTAGAGAATACAAGAGAAAGATCTTGAGACTTAGAGTTCACCACTAAGCATAACATTCCTAGACATTCAATATTTGATAGATTAAGGGGATTATATGTTGTAATTGAAAGTTTTTGCTATTAATTGAATTAACAAGCATGGATGACCAAATAAGTATATATTATCTAGCCAAACTAGTGAGTAGCACAACATATTAAATCAAGCCATTATTCATTCCTTAAGGTTCACAATTAATGCACATTATTATATTAGAGAAATATATTACTTGCATTCATAAGTATGGAACATCAAACAACAAGCATTGATTGTCCTCCCATATAAGAAAGTAAGGCAACTATACTACAACTAGGCTAGTGACATGAAAATTAAACTAATTAAACTAAGGAGGAGGCACAATCCATCAAGAAATGAGTATGAACCATCCAACAAACCACAAGAGTAATCTATTTAAGCACCATGCCTTGACTACTATTAGATTCATAACATCAACACACATAGACATGCATCAATATCACAAAATCTAGAAATAAATATATAAACATTCATCCTAGTATACATAGACATATGGATATAATTAAATGATCAATTGAAAGTATTTAACCACACAAATCATTGTAGAAACATGATTTATATATAAAAGATGTCAAGACAAACATTACAACACAAATCCCCTTTAATTACAAAGCATCAAAGTCTAGGAGGTATGCTTAGGGCTATCTCTAGCCCCAAGAGAATGGTTTAGCCACTCATTGATGTTGTCATCTAACCCTCAAGGGCTATCTCCATGGTAGAAATGATCTTCCTCTCCTTGGTGGAAACCCTAGATGAATGGAAGAGCTCTCTTAAGATGGTGTGTATTGATAAGCACTGAAAAGTGCGTATTTAAACCCCTTAAGCTTAGGCATTTTAGTACATTTATCTATCTTACTTTACCGTTTTAGATTGATTTTGTTTTATGTCCATTTTCAGACACTTATCTCGAAAATAAGCTAACTCAGCCAAATAAGAGCTTAATTGAAGCAATTCTGAGATTAAACAAAGAAAGGAGCAAAGTGGAGAAAGAGGGAAGTAAATGAAGCCAAAGATGACAAGCAGCAAAGTTCGATTGATCCAAGTTCAAGGTTTGATCGATCGAACAATGATCGATCTCAGCACTTCAAGATAGATCCAAGCCTTTGCCCAAAAAGCATAAATTCTAAAAGTTCGATCGATCTAACACCACCTTTCGATCGATCGAACACTTTTGTCCTTATTCAAATGATTGATCATATCCACAATTGTACCACCCACTAACCACTTTTGTCCTTTTCTCATAAATATCTCCCATAAATATCTCGGATTTGTCTTTTTCCAAAAAGCTCAGCCAGTTGGATCGATCCAGCCTAAGTTCGATAGATCTTAGCCAGTTCGATCGATCCAAGACCAAGGTTCGATCGATCGAACTTCCTCCAGTGCGAAAAAGTTAAAATTTCACCTCATTGAAAGTTGTCCTTTATCCAATCATTAGGGAATATTGTGTGCACAACCCCAGCTCATTTTGGGTGTCATTTTGATCTACCTATATAAGGATAAGGATTGCTTTTTACAAAGAGAGCCAACATTATTTTCATATCATCTCTTGGAGAGCAAGCTTAGAGGAGGAGGAGGCTAGAGACACCATTGGAGTTCTTCATCAACAAGGAGCAGATTTCAACCATGGAGTTAGCCCTTGAGGGTTGGAGCATCATCACCATGAGTGGCTAGACATCCTCTTGGGGCTAGAGTTAGCCCTAAACATGCTTTCTATATCTTAATCTTGTGTATTATTGAGGGATTAGTGTTGTAATGGATGTTTTGACACTTTGATATATATAGATCTTGTTTATTCAATGATTTATGTGATTTAATGCTTCCAATTGATCATTTCATTCTATCCATATGTCTATGTATGCTAGAATAGATGTCCATGTGCTTGTCTCTAGATTTTGTTATTGATGCATGTCTATGTGTATTGATGCTATATATTTGGATATTGTCAAAACATAGTGCTTAAATGAATGCTCTTGTGATTCTCTTGATGGTTCATGCTTATGCCTTAATAGATTGTGCCTCTCCCCTAGTTTATTTTCATGCTAGTAGAGTAGATGTAGTGTAGTTGTAGTGTAGTGTTAAATGGGAGGACAATCTATGCTTGTTGTTTGATGATCCAAGCTTTTGAATGCAATTAACATATGTCTCTATCCTTGTGTTGTATTTGGATTATGAGCTTAATGAAAGGATTAATGACTTGTTTTGATTTTTGTGCCTTTCACATGTTGTTTAGACAATATGTGCTTCATTGCTTAGATATATTGTGCCTTTCACATGATGTTTAGACAATACATGCTTAACTAGTCATCCTTGCTTGTTGAATTAACCAAACACACACACACCAATATTGCAACACACCATTTTCCCTCATTAATCACTTGTCAATG